TCCTGGACCCGGTGGCTTAAATTCACGCTGGGCGCGTGGGCGTGTGAGCCCAAGATCCAGAGAGGAGAATGAAGGAGAAGGGACTGCATCGTGGCCATCCCCTCTGAGGGTGATTTCTCGCTTTCTGTCTCTCTGTCCCTCTCTTTCTTTATGGTGAGTGCACACGCCCTATAGCAAAAGACCTCTCCCCCCCAAAAAAAAAATAAAAGTAAAGAAAAGAAAAAGAAAAAAGAAATTATGGCTCTTTGAAAATAATATGTATATTTTTAAATAATTACATGAGATAAAACAATGTATGTGTGGACTCACGCCGGATGTTGAGGTTGGCATCTGAGGATTTGGGGGTGAGGAGGAAGCAGCCTAATAAGAGGGGGTGAATGCAAACTCAGGAAACTTGGGAGCAAGACTGAGCTCTCAGGACAGACCAGACGGAGCGAGCCGGGGTGGCCAGAGGACCTGGGAGGTGGGTTCCTGCCCCTTCTCAGGAGAGGAGCCCTAGGCAGGAGTCCAGAGCTCCCTCCCACCTTCTCTGAGTTCAGTACTCCCGGAAATCCTGTGGGGCCTCCTCAGCAGGAGGCCGGCCCTGTGGCCTGGTGGTTAGAGGAGGTAGATCCCTCATGGCCGACTGTGCAGTTCCAAACACACCAGGTGCGTGTGTGCGCATACCCAAAATCCCGAGAGGAGAGCAGAGGATGCGGGATTGCAGTGTGGACATCCCAGCTGGGGGTGCTTTCTCACTTCCCCTCTGTCTCTGTCTCTGTCTCTGGTGAGCACATGTGCCCTCTGGCAAAACAAACAAACAAACCAATAAACAAACACAGCAGGGCAAAATAAAACTCGCCAGTGAAACAGAGGAGGAGGATGGAAGGGTATCCCTAAAGCGGAAGTGCAGAGATGGGTGAGAGGGTTGGGGCTGCAGGGATGTGTTGTCATGGAAACTACAGTACCACACATTGTCATGGAGACCACAGCAATGATTCCTATTAAGGGAGCGTCAGAACTATTTTTACATCCACTGGCAGTCAGACGGCTCCTTAACTGAGAGCAGGCAGGCAGCGGACCCCGCTCAACACGGGCACGTGTGTATATGCACCCCGTGTGTGTGCACGGACACACACATACACAGCCGTACATGCATAAATACGTATTTATCCCTTTTACGTATACACAATTAAACTTTTTCTCTTAGGTATTTGCAAATATGGGTATATGCACATTCGCATACAATATTATTTTATATGTATTTATTTTAGAGTTTTATTTATTTATGTATTTATTTTGAGATAGATCTTTGTTATAGGGAACATCCACTCACTGGGGAGACAGAAAACAAGAAAACAAGAAATCTCCCCCCAGGAGGATGGCCACTCCACAATCCCTTCTCCTCCAGTCTCTAGGGATTTGGGGCACTCATACATACTTGCCCAGCGTGTGTTTCAAGCTGCTGGGTCCGGGACTCCAACCCCGGTCAACCACGTGGGAGTCCAGTGCCTTAACCCCTGCGCCACCTGCTAGCCTCTAAATGCATTTATTTTAAATACTGTTAGCACCATGCTCTGACCAACTGAGCTAACTGGCCACCTGCTATTTTTCTAAAGAATTATTTATTGTATTTAATTTATTTTTTTTAAACTTTGATTTAGGGCATGTGTACTCACCAGAGAGAGACAAAGAGAGGGAATGTGAGAAATCAAGGTGTTAGGTCCAAGACCCAAACCATGGTCGGCCATTGGGATCCAGCACCTTAACCACCACGCTACCTGCCGGCCCGGCACCTCCTATTTGGAAAAACTGCTGTAATTCGGGACCAGCAGATAATGATTATATCACTGGACCCAGCAGCTTAAAAAACTCATTCAGGATGTGTGTGTGTGTGTGTGTGTGTGTGTGTGTGTGCCCGAAATCGTGAGAGAATGGAGGAGAGGGGATTGTGGCATGGTATCCCCCTGGGGAGTGATTTCTCACTTTCTGTCTCTGTCTCTCTGGCGAGTGTGCATGCCCTATAGCAAAAATTTCTCTAAAAAAATTAAAATTGCTATAATTAAATTTTTACTTAAGGCTTTGTTTTGTTTTGTTTTTGTTTTTAGGGTTTTTATCATAGGGCACATGTGCTCACTGGAGAGAGAGGTAGAAAGTGAGAAATCACCCTCCGAAGGGGATGGCTGCACTGCGATTCCTTTTCTTCCATTGCCCTGGGATTTGGGGCACACATGCAGACACGCCAGGTGTGATTTTCAAGTTGCCAGGTCTAGAACTCAAATCCTCATCCACCATGTGGGAGCTCAGTGCCTTCACCCCAATGCCATCTGTTGGCCCCTGATACAATTTTTTTTTTCATTCAATCATTTATTTTAATTTGACTAGAGAGAGATACACAGAGAGAGAGAGAGTAAAAGTGAGAAAGCAAACCACCAGGTCCAGGACTCGAACTGCATGAGCCATGTGAGAGTGTCCAGTGCCTTAACAACCATGCCATCCCCCCATACAGTTTTTAAGTTATTCGTTGTCTTATTCTTTGTTTACTCTAGGGCACAGAGAGAGACAAAGTGAAAAATCAACCCCCAGGGGGGATGCCAAGCTGAAATCCTTTCTCCTCCATTTTCTCAGGATTTTGAGATGCACGCACAAGGGCTCAGTGTTATTTTCAAGCTGCCGGATCTGAGACTTGAACTGTGAAGTTGATAATGTGGGATCCAGCTGCCTTAAGCACCACACCACTGGCCGGCCCAAAAGTCACCATTTTAACCTATACTGTCCAGTGGCGTTAAACACATTCACAATGTACAACTATCTTTTATTTTATCCAGTTCTAGAACATTTTCATTACCCCCAAAAGGAAACCCCAAGCCCATTAAGCAGACACTCCAAATCCCCTTCTCTCTGGCCCCTGGTTTGCTTTCTGGCTCTATGGATTTGTCTGTTCTAGATAGTTCGTAAATGCAACTGTACACTCTGCAATCTTCTGTATTTAGCTTTATGGCCATATCTTATCCAAATTTTTTAAAAGAATTATTTACTTAATTTAATTTATTCATTCATTTTAATTTGACCGGAGAGAGACACAGAGAGAAAGAGGAAAAGTGAGAAAGCAAGACACCAGATCTGGGACTTGAACCACAGTTGGTCATGTGGGAGGGTCCAGTGCCTTAACCACCATGCCACCTGCTTGGCCCATTTAAAAACTATTGCATAATGAGATTTCATTCTCCAACTGATTATTCGTAGACTTTCAAAATAATGCACCTGTGATTAAATACTCTAGTTAATGAGACGAGTGGATGGCGTAATGGCCACGTCGCTCAACTCCCACGTAGTCAACCGTGATGGCTTAAACTCACGCCAGGCGTGTGTGCATGCGTGCCCAAAAATCCCGAGAGGAGAATGGAGGAGAAGAGATTGCGGCGTGACCATCCCCCCGGGGGGTGATTTCTCACTTTCATCTCTCTGTCTCTCTCTGTCTTTCTGGTGAGCGCATATACCCTATAGCAAAAACCTTTCGAAAACAAAACGAAACGAAAAATTCTAGTTATAGTAACAACACTTATCTTTACGGAACGTGACTACTCAGGGGTTAGCCACTGGAATGGTGTGTCCTTTCTGCACTAAATATAATGGGAACTTGGGAAATCACAAACATCCATCAGAAGTTTAGGGATGCCAGAGGTGACAGTGACAAACATTTGGCAAGTTGGCCTTGCAAAGGCCAATTCCAAAACTGAATCCAAAGAACAGATTTTGGGTAACACTGAGGCCACAATTATATTTTAGTGCATTTTTAAATATGTGATCTCCCTGAATCCTTGAAACTACTAGATTGAACATTTTTCTTTGAGAGAGAGATTTTTGCTATAGAGGGTCTGCGCTGGCCCGAGACACAGCAAGAAATCGCCCTCCAGGGGGATGGCCACACCGTAGTCACTTCTCCCCCGTTCTCCTGGGGGTTATGGACACGCGTGCACAGGTACCCCGATGTGAGTTTCAAGCACCAGTCTAGGACTCAAAGCACAGTGGGATGCGGAGTCCAGCGCCTTACCCACTACACACGTGCTGGCCTCAGAAAGATTTTTATTAGTACCCCTATTGTGAACTGAAGGGAGGAGCTCGGAGCCTCCAGAGGGCTTGTCTGTGTTCTCAGGAGCCAGCACCGGCTTGGCAAGAACAGACCGGTAACCCTGACTGGGTAGCTCGGGAGCGCTTAACTAACCTCCAGCCTGTGGACTGCAGGTTGCAGAAACCTTAGAAGGCAGGCACTATCATCAGGCCTGAGGAAGTGGGGGAAGAGAGCTAGAATTTGCTGGAAGCTTCTAGAAATCCCCAGAACCCAGGAGCTGTAGTAGAAGGCTGCCCAACAGGAGCTGTGACTTTTGTTAGTGGAAGAAATGGGGATTAAAGCCTCTCTTTCCCCTTGCCCTCTGATTCCCACTGAATCCCACTGGGGGACAGAGGACCAGCGCTGCTCTGGGCAGCCACCGACATCGGTGTCCCCACCTGCCGGTGCTCACTCCGAAGGCTCCCAGGAGTGGAGGCTGGAAAGGGCGGGTGGGCGTGGAGGGCAATCAGGATCATCGAGACCCCTGCTGTGTGGGCACCTGCGCAGTCGCTTTTTCACTGGGTTCCCAGGCCGAGCTATGGGGCCCACACACAGATCTAGCCAGTCCTAGCAACTACCCACCTGCCGGTTGTCATGGACACCGCCGAAGCTGCGTTGCCCAGAGCCCCTGCTCGGTGGCGCGGACCGAGTGCGCAGGCGTGCGCGGCGTTGTCCTCGGCTCAGCGCCCCTGCCGGCATCCTGGAGGGAAACCGCGTGACCCGCCGGGCCGGGGCCCGAGGAGGAGCTCGCGACGGCTT